TATATATATATATATATATTACGTATTATAATTGGTATAATACAGAATTATAATATACATGAAATTTATCCATTAAGGTATTAGGTATAATTAATTAATATACACATACAGACGAGTTCCATTACGGACGCACATCGGAAATATACAATATAATTAATATAAATACAAATATACATGTAACAAATACAAATAATCAATTGCCTTTGACCTTACCGCGCAACGTATAATTATGTGACAACACGGTGTTCTAACATAAAAGTAGTAGCCTCCGACGGATGCGCGTCTTCCTCCATTCTAATTTCTTTGGTCGGCGACTCGGGAGAATTCAATTTCGTACGCTCCGGTGTCAATCGAATAGTAGTGCCATGCCGACTGTAATCCTCGATCTCGCCTATCGGCTGATCAACGTCTTGTCCTACGTTTTCGTTACATTTTCCCTGTTCGTAAAAATTAATTAATCAAATTGTAAGTACACTCTCATTAGTTGCGAATATTTTCCTACAATTATAAATTATAATCTATTTATATTTAAAGGTTTAACTTAAGTTCAATTGGAACTTTATATATTACCTTTTACAGTTACGGCCTATTTAAAACAATTCATTCATTTATAATGCTTTAAAAAATCCTTTATACACAAATAAATTCTATAAAATCTTATCACTCAAATATTGTGTATAATGTATTAACATTATAATAGTTTTATTGTACAAATAAATATATTGAAGGATTGAAAAATGAGAAATTTTTATAATAGATTTTCAAATGAAAATTGTTATAATCAATAAATGCGTGCTCACTTGTAGAAATCTCAGCAATTCTCTTCGAAATTCTGTACTGCAGGCGAAATATATGAGGATGTAAATGGCATAATTGCTGAGTTCAACAATCGCCGAATACACGCGGAACGTTTGGTAACGAAGGTCCAACGGATGACGATCGGTATACAGTATAGGGGTAAGACTTGGCGGAACTTCCGTCAAAAAAAAGCATAGAATCATTGTTGTCGTCAATATCGCCAAGTGTTGTTCCTCTCTGGAAAGAATAATTTTTATATAACTTTTATACATATATTCTAGTGGGACCACAGAAATACAATATCTAATCTTTTGTTTTAACTTGTATCCTCGATTACGAGATAATAATGATGTGTCAGGCGTCTTGTTGGTCCGAAATTTATTCGAAACAGCGTGGAATTGTCGGTTTTGTACATTCAACTGCAGAAACCTCTTAATGACTAGACTATTCAGTACAATGAATACGATCGACGGGCAAATTCGTACTACGATCTCCATTATCCAAATATATGTTCTCCATATTGCAGTTTGCGTAACGAATACATTTTCACGTAATGTAAAAGAAGTGCCGGATTCATCTTGTTCCGCATAAACGATATTTCTCATTACCGATAGTGGACTACTAACCTGTAAACGAAATGAAATATGCCTATATAAAATACGTACAATGTATTATACATGTATATATTTTTTTTATACATAAAATTATTTATACATCTATTATTACGCACGTTTGCAATAAAAGATTCTCCCGTTATTGTTAAACACGACTAATTAACGGAATTGATCGATTTGTAATGATTCGCGCTCTTTGATTGAAAAATCCACTGACGAATCAGCATAAATAATAAACATTATCCTTTATTGATTTTGTTAACCAATTATTCTAATATAATCGGGTGATATATTAACTAAGTGAATCTTATTCGTAAGGATATAACAATATAATCATTATCAGTAATTGTTATAGTCCGATCTTATATGCAAGATTGTCTTAAGTTAAGTGTGATCATAGATAGTAGTTAATTCTATTCAGTCAATAAAATAATTGTACAGTTTGTTGCAAGATCGTATTATGATCTTAAATATAAACTCGGATTATGAACATCGGCTATAGTATGGCACTCAATGTTTTAAATGTGCCAATAAAAATGATTTTTAATAGCTTTTGATAATAATATAAGAATACTATATATATTATTTATAAATATAGCTTTGAGAGAGAGAGAGAGAAAGTGAGACAAAAATATTTATAATAGTAAAGATTATATAGTGGAATCACACAGAATGTAAAAGATTACTCGATACTTTATTTAAAAAAAATTAAACGCATTTTTCGAAAGAAAAGAAATACAAACGCTATATTTTACGTAAAACAGTTTACCATGAAGCCAGCAATGAAAGAAGAGAGTATGAAGGAGTTGACGTTCTTGCGCGTGTTTCCGGTGCGAATACGTGCCGGAAAAAATAGAAAAATGTATCGATCTACAATTAAGCAGACCATAATGAAAACACTGGCGGCCGAAAAGGCGTTCAGAATAACAAGTTCAAGATGAGCATGGTAGAAAGCTGATGGGTAATTATTGCTCATGCCATAACCCAATCTTAGCGCTGAAACATATACATTGATTGTCAGATATAATTATACATATGTTGTAATATACTTTGTTATACATGGCCACTATTGTGTACTGAGAAAAAAGACTGATTGCGCAATCGTATGTATATACATTAATCGAAGAAAAAGTACATACGCTGGTACAATAATGAGTTTTATCGATACAATTAATTAATTGTAATCGAGTACAACTGTCGGCGCAAACCGATAGTATTAATCGACAAATATGAGTCAAGTATCGTCGCGATCTAAATTAAATGAGTTAAATATCGTCGTTAAATTAATATTTTCTTCAGCCAAGCGTAATTTTTTTTTCTACAGTGCACACTGTCGGAATCGGATTGTACAAACTGATTGTTATCCAAGACAGAATAACACCGATATGCGCCAGCGCAAGTCCACTGAGGTACAGGTATGCGATACCGCGAAACACTGGGCCAGATAGCACAACAAAGATCGCCGCATTGCCAAAAATGCCGATGGTTAATATGATTGGGACTATGATGCCGTAAGATGTCCACATCAAAGACATCACTTGGTTTCGAGCAATGTCGTCCTCGACAGGCGTACGTTCGACAGTAAAGTTATCATCCTCGCAACACAACTGAGTACTGCAAAAAGCACATTCATTCATAGGATCTGATCATATGTGTAAGAGTCATAGAAAAGAAGCAGCGCGAGCAGCAATTTTATTGCCGATGAAGATAAATATAGGTTGTTAAGATCGACTTATTTCGCAATGAATGATGATCTTGAGTTAGCTGAACTACTTTATTAACAATAAAGAACAAAATGACGGTGTTACTAATGAATAAGAATTGACTATGAAACTGCGATATATACAAACCCGTCGATTACTCCTGTCAGCATTGTACGTTCCGTTGATTGTTAATTATACAAAAATTATACAAATTAAGATTGTCGTTAAAGAACTTATAAGTACTGTCGATTAAGTGATCTAGAAACTTTTTACTGTTTGACGTTTTGTATTTTCCTCACGCACGTCACCGTCTGTTTCTCTCCTTCTCTCTCTAGCCAGCTGTAAATCTACTTTCAATAAAGACATGATAGACTCTAACAGGTTTACCTGTGACATATCCACCTCATGGGTCTTGCTTCAGAAAAATATACTGCGCAAGCCTCGGTAAGGTAACGTCAAGGTGTATGGGGGTTTATTTAAACACGTAATAGATGATAGACTTAAACCCTTTATTAAGGTCAAACTGCTTGAACAAACAACAGGGTCTATTATTAATTGTTGTTTACGGTCAAATACTTCACGGTGGAGATAATACGGATTATGCAATAAAATAAGATTAAAATGCAGTAAATCAAATTTATCGTATTTTATCAAATGCGCAACCAACATAACTCTTTCTTTATTAAAAAGATTGTCATCTTTCGATCATTTCATTATTGTTTCTTCCTTTATTGAAGAATATTATAAGTTCGCTATCCTGATTATCGCAATTGATAACGATACGAATATTTTCATATTCAAATTATGATTCATAATTATGGAATAAAGGAAAAAAGGAAATTTCAAGTTTTTCAACTTTTTCTGTTTTTCAAAAAGGAAAACTTGTGTGTGTGTGTGTGTGTGTGTGTGTGTGT